CGTGTGCGTGTGCGTGTGCGTGTGCGTGTGCGTGTGCGTGTGCGTGTGCGTGTGCGTGTGCGTGTGCGTGCGCGTGCGCGTACGCGCGTACGCGCGTACGCGCGCGTGTGTGTGTGTGTGTGTGTGTGTGTGTGTGTGAGAGTGAGTGAGTGTGTGTGAGAGTGTGTGAGAGTGTGTGTGTGTGGGTGAGTTTGGTTGCATTTCAAATCGAAGAAGCTCCGAATATAACATTGCGTACAGTTGGCAGAACGCAAATAAAAGTGCAGGCGTCCACCAAAGTTTCGTTGACAATCAATGAAAATAAATATCCGTGAAGGTTGCTTTTAGCGCAAAATGATGAGGAACTTCTTATCATGGGGCACGATTTCGTAAGGCAATTATTAAATTTGTTTTGTCGAAAACTAATTTAAATGACAATGTCGAAATTTCCTTCAATTCTATGACTGATGTTATGTCGAGAGAAGAACATTGTTCTTTCGAGCAGGTATCAAAAGGTTATAATAACTTATCGGTAAATAGGACGGAGTATGCATACTCTGCTGATTTGCCAGAAACAGAGAAAAAAGTTGACGTCTGTGGCAAGAGTTGTCAAATGCGTCAAGAGCGTAATTCATATAAAAACATTACGCCGAAACCGGTGAATAGTATCTTTTAACGTGTAAAATTTGATTGTGTAAGTGTTTCAGAGAATTTACAGGATAAGGTTTTGAAACGAGCAGACTTGATTGATTCGTGAACGAATAGGAAGAATGCGAACAAAACAGAAAAGAAATTTTGATTAGAAAGCTAAAGTTGCTATATATCGTCCAGGAGATTTGGTAATGCGCGGAAAATAGGTGTGAGTAGGTCTGGTAGGTAAAATCTTGTTCATGTAAATAGGATGAAGAAGCTTTTTAGTAGGTAGTTTAACGATTTTCTATTTGTAATAGGTGACAAGTATTTTTTTATGTGTTCATAAATCTTTTGTGTTTATTTTTCATATGGAGAAAACAATTGAGGCGGTGATATTTCTGGCGAATGCAGATAGCTAACATAGAAGTACAAGAGGAGATGGATTCCCAGCTTGGATAAATATGACTTATTTTATTTTGGTTTCATGAATATATTAACCTGTACATGTGTATGGTTGTTGGTCATTAACAAGAACCACCTGCATTGAAAGGAAAATATATTTATTTAATTATTATAAATCTTCAATATGATGTATCACCATATCACATTTATTCTTGATGTTTATTTATATTAGAATAACTTGTGTGTTCTTTGCTTTGTCCAAATAAAGTAAGAAAAGCTGATGGAACGTGGATAGCTGCAAGGCAAGGATCATAAAGATAGTCCAGTGAGTGTCCGATGGATGTCCAAGCCTGAGGTGTCGTCTTGAGAACATGCACGATGGAAATTATTTATTTGGAAGTGATATTTTTATGATGAAATGTAATGTTTTTTTTTTTCTTAAATAAATGTTTTGTTAGGATTCAGGTTAGGTAGGATTTTAGCCTAAATAAAGAGTTAGGGACTTAGGGCACGTCCTTCACGCTATTATACGTCACCTTTCATACAAATTACCGCGATTTTCGCGCTGCAGTCACGCTCGATTGCAGTCACGGTTAGTGAGGTGTACATGTTAATTTTTCAAATTGACCACGATGGATGAAAATCGAATTGAAGAATTCAGAATGTAAGACAACACCTTGCAGTACGGAATAGCGGTTTCGCCAGTTATTCCAATCGACTGGATAAATAAATTTATTGACAATTTTGAAACACTACAACTACAACGGAAAAAAACATAGCAGGTGAGTCATTTTTAATATCTATATGTGAAGTGTGTCCCCCAAGAACTAGGTAAAAGTAATGTTTCTTCGTCAGAATCCATCGTGTAACTGAGTCGAAAGATAAAATGTCACTAAAAATTTAAAAAACGGTAGCGCGGCCGCCGCGGGGCTGCAGCGCTTATAACAGCATTTTTTAATTAAGGTAGTAAAATAATTCCTATATCTTTTATATGCAACACGTTGAATTTCATTTATAGAGTCCATCTTCAATCTCTTTTGCATGTAGTCACACACACATACAATCATTCTTAATATGGTAAAGCAAATTTCGGCAATTATTGAAGTGTTTCTTTCTTCAGATTTTCATCCCTGAATTCTAAATAAAATATAATATATCTTTAATATCTAACTTTTCGATTTTGCAATTTGCAGATTTAGGCTTGTAACTAAATTTATTGTCATCTTTTGTGTCCAATCTCTTTTTCGGAACATTTTTTATTTCCAAATAGACGTTTCTACTACCACGCTGTTAGTCCTCTATCCTCTCTTATAGCATATTACTATGCTCTCTGTCCTTTTTCACCTGAATTTCAAGAACATACTGTAATTCTCTTCTAAAGTTCTTTAATTTGCTTGGACAAGAAATCCATTGATTTGTCGATTTTTTTAGTTAACCGTTTTAATCTCATGAAGGTTAGAGTTGATCATGTTTAATTCTTTTCTGAGGAGCAAGCAAATCCGCGATCATCGATTTTATTTCTTCCATAAGCGCACTATGATTGGAATCTCCTTCATCTCTCCTCCTTTTGAACCATTGGGAAACAAAAGTATTGGGAGGAGGTGTTTCGGGATTGAACTCATAGAATCGGAGAAAGATCTATTATCCATTTGTTTGCATACACCAGGACCAGATATAACAATATATTTTCTCTCTCTCTCTCTCCCTTTTCTCTCTCTTCCACCATCCGTTGTAACAAATTGCTAGATGCCAGGCAATCATAGATGTTAGGAGCTCGAGATAGTATTTCGTGTATAGGATGAGACTAAGGAGCGCGTGATGACATAGCGCAGTGGTCAGGAACCGCTAATAATATTGGCGTCAAGTTTTACGTGTCCACTCTTTTTCCCAGAGATAATAAAGACTTCATTGAATTTCAAAATAACTGGTATTACCACACATTTTCCCGGATGTATGACAATTTTGTAAGGTATCAGGCAATCATAAATGCCAGGAGGTCCAAAAAGTACGCTGCGTAGAGGTCGGAGCCAATATACGCATGACGTAAAGCAATGGGTAGGAATTGATAAAAATGGTGTGCTGTCTGGAGGTGACCCGTGCAGTGGGACTTTTAAACGGGTTGACGATGAAGTGCAGCTCGTATCGGGAGCGTGGATTAGAATGGTGCAGTCACAGACATACATCTAGATAGACGCCGCAAGAGTACGTAACTTGCGTGCTCAATGTAAGATACAGACTTAGTTGCCGCTGCGGGCTCGACCGTTATCGTAGATAAACGCTAGATAAACGCAAGCCGAACACGCGAAAAATGCCTAATTGTGCCATTATAAACTGCAAAAGCACCATAACTGTAGGTAAACGAGTAAACAGGGACGTTTCCTTCCACCGGTAAGTGATTTTGTAATCAGAAGATGCAAAATTTATTTTAAAAGTAATTATTTCGATTTTGTATGAATTCGAAGAAAACAAATATGCAAACGAGGGTACGCCTCATGATTTATAATACATTGCGGCTTTTACTTGGTGAGACATATTTGTCATCCTTTATATTGTATTCAAGGCGTATTACGCCATGAATATCGAACGAGGGTACTTTTGTATTAATGCATTCAGTGGCATAGTTGGAAATCGGAGAAATAAAAACAAATCACAAAAATTTCACACGAGGCCGTCATTAAATAAATCTCTTCTGATTAATAAGATATTACGATATTTTGTCAGCAGTAATATTTCCAGTTGTCTTGCCATTCATCAATTTGATCAATCACCAACAGTAAACCATCTAGTAAAATTAATTAAGGCAGTGGCAAGTTCATATAATGACGTGCGTTTTCATTATTTAAGTTAATCGATAAGATCTTCTATTACTAAAAGATGTTATATAATAAGCTCATTTTATTGGAAGGACAATAATTTTAATATTTGAAGTCCATTAAAAATTAAAGTCTTAAATTTTTTAGGTAATCAACACTTTTTAAAAACATGTTTTAATAAAGGACTGAACTATCTTATTCTAGTATTTTTCTCCTATAGTAATATTTCACGACTATTTGTAATCAATAAATACTTCAGTCTTGAACAAACATTATTCTATTTAAAATCGATTAATTGAAGGGTATACGCGTATTTACGCGTATTCCGTTAATCGATTTATAGCGGAAGGAGCTTTTTCCATCACTAAATAGTTCTTGGGGAGTCATAGTGCGTACAAAAAATGTGGCACGCTTGGTTTTCGTACAAATTGCTGTACTTGCGGTGTCTATTTATGTAGATATATATATTGTCTGTGGGTGCAGTACTCACACAATCTTCACTTGTCCTCCTCAAGAGTAACATCTTCTACGGTACCAGACAATCATAAATGCTTGAAGGTGAGTCAGTACGAGCGGTGTAGTAAGTAGATGGGGCCAATATACGTGCGCGATGACTTTGTGCAGTGGGCAGGAACCGCTAGTAAAGATGGCGTCAAGTGTGGGTGCAGAATGGTGCAACAGCCGCACAAATATACACAACTCGAAACTCACTCCTACACACCTATGCGCTCCTAATATTTTACTACAATTTATTATCAAAATTTTCACACTAGTTTTGCCACCTTGTATGTACACTATCTACTTATTATTTAACGGGTTAAGGTTGATGTGCATCCCCCGTAAAGGAAAGTGCGGCAGGGACAGCGGTTGAGCTTGATATGTACTTCCTGCAGCCTATCCTGTTGGTACAAGTTAGCCGTTCTTATTTATGTGTTTATTACAGTTTGTACAGTTATATGCATGAAATTTTGCATAAAGATACTTTAGACAGAAATCTATGGAGATCTTAATGGTAATATGTAAAAATTATTGAAGTTTCTGATGGTAAATAATACCTTCCATTAATTATAACACAAGGTATGAGTAACTTTTGCCGCGCATGTCATGTCGAATACAAAGTAGAGTTATCGTTAGTAGTATATTATTAGGGCATCTGGATACAAGGAGTTATCCAGACGCCCTAATAATATCTATTCAAGAAGTCATTACATCTATTCAAGAAGTCATCTATTCAAGAAGACATCTATTCAAGAAGTCATTACATCTATTCAAGAAGTCATCTATTCAAGAAGACATCTATTTCAAGAAGTCGTCTGAAAAAACTTTTTTATTTGACAAATTTCGTCTATAGTAGACTATTTCTATGTATTCAAGAACATTACCAATTCACTGTTTATTTTAAGAACAAAGTATTACAATGTCACAACGCTTCCAATTGAATGCATATGGTCTGGTATTTTATAATATTTATACTTATCAAATGACACCGCTATGCAGAGACGATAGCAAATGCGCGCGTGTCTCGATCATTCATGATTAAGTACCTGATGCAATTCGCAATGTAAGCTTAACGCTTTGTTATATATTCTATTCCTTATTCAATTTTCTACCCGACTACGTCGAAAAAAAAGGAAGGTAAGGAATAACGGGTATTGATAAAAACAATGAATGTTTCAAATATAATTTATTAATAAAACGTATCTACATTTTTACAACATTGTGTAACCATTACTAGAGTCTGTTGTTAGAGGCGACATAATTTTATCTATAATATCTTTTGTTGAGTGGTAAATGTCATCCAATAAAATGTTTCTCACCGCGTATTGCACACACAAATCTGCTTCACATTTACACATTTGGTCACTATTCTGTATTTGATCAGTATCATAGATCTCTATTTTAATAACCTTGCTCGCACCACTCCGAAGTCGCTTTTTTATATATGTATAACATGTAGTCTTTTCGGATTTTCTTTTGCGTCCCAATCCGAGCCGCGTTCCATTTGGAGATAAATCTCTTTGTGATGCAGCGCTGGGCACGAAGTTGAATAATTGATCTCCGGAATCCTTAAAACAAGTTGAAAGTAAGTATTAATTACACATCCTCAATTCATTGTTAATATTAAAATTATTTATTTATTTATTATATTTACAGTATATAAAACCTGTACAGGTTTCTCAACAAATTTAATCTAAAGAAAATTAAAAATAAATTTTGGTTAACTTACCGACATTTTATGACAACTTCACAAGAAAATAAGTTTTTTAATAATGATTATTTTACTCCCAATTTACCCGTTTATATTGAGTGAAGGCAGTGCTAATAGGGTTCAAAATTAACATCGTACTTACTGTATTTTTTATTCAATACTCATCAATAAATCTAATATGGAGTGCTCGACGCCGAGAGTAAAAATGACTCCGTTTGTGTTTACTTCCATTTATGATTACTCGACTACAGCGGAGCGAACAGGAGGGTTATGATTTCAGCAGCATACCTAAGTGTATGTATCTAAGTGTGTATGTATTCATCTGTTCTATCACTGAGCCAAAACTGCTAAAACGATTCCAAGTTATGAGGTATCGTTACATTGAACTCAATTATGCCGATTATTTAGGTATCTACATCATATACTTATATAGTCTAAAAAATAAGAACCTTTCGTTTCAACATACCTTTAAAAGATCTCTTCAAATATATCATATAGAACATGATGCAGCAAGTGTGATGTAGTACAATATTTATAAAGATTTTTATGATGAACACCCATGCCCAGCAGTGGGACGTGTAACAGTGTTGATGATATGATATGACTAGTAGTTTTGATACCAATGTTTCGTTGCCGGGGTTTAATTTTGTAACTTTTGTATTCGTAGTATTAAGTGAATTGTTGTATGAAAAATTCTGTAAGCAGGTATATTTTCAATAAAATTATGTTATTAAGATTAATGATAATACAAAATGATACATCGCACACTCAATTCTATCATTTATTTAGTAAGACAAAATTATAGTTCTTATTGCATAAAGAAGAAGGTTGAAATTATACAATCGATTTATTAAGCAAAGAAAAACATTTACAAATGCAAAATATCCAATCAATATTTCACATTTTATTTTTATGCTACCTTATCCACTTAGAATTAGAATCGATATTAGAATTAACTTACCGATGATTGCTGCATATCATACTGAGTATTTGTTTTTGCATTTATGTTGACTGTGCATTTTCCTATTTTGCTTCATATACAAATTACAAATATGGGTAAACGTGACGCGTATGAAGGCCTATATAGACCGGTCCTCTCTATCCATGATTATTGCTCAGATCACCTTCCTACAAGACAACAGGACAGCTCAAAAAAACAAATCAACCACTGCAAATAACTAAGAACAATGTAAGTGCATTTTAAGTACTAAAATAAATTTATGTTACATAACCGTGCCATCTATTCGAACTATTCATCAATTATAATTAATTATCTATTTTATTCCATTATTTTTTTTCGGACTATTTATTTTTTAGTCCAAATCCGAATCTATTTACTGTGATGAAGAGTCGCGGGTTCGAATCCTGCTGGGGAGCAAAATTAGTGACAAGTACAAATGCGCATACTCGATTCCAAAATGTTTAATATTTTACCTGTGCTTATTTTATCGTTGTCCTAGTTTTACTAATCATTCGATCAGTTTTTGTGAGTTCACTGTCGCAAGATATTATTACCAAACAATTTATGTTTTTATTCAATCATTTTACTATGTACTACTCATATATTTTATTCTATTAGGTCTTTGGCACAAGATTTATTCCTGTCAGAAGACGAGTGCGAGACGGTGCAGCCTAAGCTCTCGAAATCCTCGAAGAAGCATTCGAGATGTGACCCTTCGACAAGTAAGAAGACAGGTGAGCCGTTCACTACCACTGCGCCTAAGAAAAGGAAAACCGTCATCAACCCAATCACCCCCGTCATGAAGGCGGCGACGGCTGAGCTTTTCGGCAGCGAGAGTGATGAAGAAGAAGGGTGCTCGACAGGTTCAACAAAGGGTACGCCAATTTACTCTTACGTTACGCGAAAGCTAGCAAATGGGATAAGTCGTCAAACAGACGACAATAAAACTGGCACTCATTACGTTGAGTTAAAAGTTTATTCATGCAACGAGATCAAAAACGTTGCACCGATAAATAGATGGCGTCATAGTATTATTACTATAAAAAACAGAACGAACGTCAACTCTGAAGCTTGGGCACATCTAACAGATTACATAAAGACAACTCGCAAAGAATTCAAAAATTGCCCACCCTCATTTAATAGTACTTACTATTAGCATTATTTTTACTGGCCTGTATTGTAGTAATTAAATGTGTTTAACTATAAATATATATGAATAAGTAAATAAATATATTATTTTATTCTTAATTTGTAATCTTTTTACTTTACAGCGACATCCTGTGTAGCCAATGCGGTCAAGTGTGACATGTGCAACATCGAAATTCCTCAAAAGAAATATCATTATCATATGAGAACGAATGTACACAAAGAGAATTGTTTATTAAAAACTGAATTCAAAAATATTGACATTATTAAGACTGCATTTAAGAACAGAATTGTGACTTACCGCATAAATCCTGCACAGGAAGTCGAGTACCTCACACCCGAGGCGTTCCTGTACAGTTATAAAAATGATGTTTCGAATGTTATCCATTTATCAATACTGAAACACACATGTCTGAAGTTAAATTTTGAACTGTTTGCTTATTTTGAGTTACCACGGTCAAGTACGCAACAGTTAAAATCTTTTAATACAAAGTTTGATTGCGTTTTTAACAACACTAATATTAATGAGTTGTATATGAATGCTATAGAAACATTTAAACAAAAACTTTCAGAATTTGAACACTGTGAATCTGGTTGGTCTCTGGTTTCAATAAGTCATTTAGAATTGAATATAAACAAATATTGTCCTATGAGAGGTGGTACGTTCATAGAGCTGCCATCATTTCTCAAGAATAGTAAAAGTTGCATAAATATACAGAATAAAGATGAGTACTGTTTTCTATGGAGTATAGTAGCTGCATTATTTCCCGCCAAAAGTAATGTATGCAAAACAAGTTCATATCCTCACCATTCAACTGTCTTTAAAACAGACGGTATGACTTTCCCTCCGTCGTGTAAAGATATACAATTGTTTGAAGCTAATAATAACATCAGTATCAACATTTATGGATTAAGTTCAAGCAGTTTAGTAACTGGTCCATTATATTTATCTAAAAATCGAAAGAACAATCATGTAAATTTATTATACTTTGAAAAAGGAGTCAAAGGTCATTACTGCCTTATTAAAGATCTTGTACGATTAGTAAAACGTCAGATTAGTAAATTTAAAGGGAATCTATATATGTGTGAGAATTGTTTACGCTTTTTTTCTTCTGAAATTAAATATACAAACCATGATTGCTCTCAAGTGTTGACAGTCTTACCTAAAAAAAATAGTACAATCGGATTTAAACATTTTGAGAGACAGCAAAAAATTTATTTTGTTATATATGCTGATTTCGAAAGTCTATTAGTTAACTGTACAGAGAATGGTAGCGAAAATACACGTAATTTAAAAGTTCATCAACCTTCATGTTTTGCGTATTATATTTGTTGTTCATATGACTCGAGTTTAAACAAGTTCGTTACCTACAGGGGTTCGGATTGTGTAGAAGTGTTTGTTAACAGATTGATTGCAGATGTGAAATGCCTTTATAAAATATTATGTGATAAGAATCCAATGACGCCTTTGACGAAAGAACAAGAAAATAGTTATCAAAACGCTACATCGTGTCATATTTGTAGCCATTTATTATTCGATGACAAGGTTCGTGACCACGATCATATTACTTCTGAATATAGAGGGCCAGCTCATTCACAATGTAATTTGATGTTCAGAGTGTGTCCATTCATACCAGTAGTCTTTCATAATTTAGCTAACTATGACTCACATTTGTTTATTAGCGAATTAGCAAAATACTATGGTCCAATTACAATTATACCGAAAACTAAAGAAAAGTACCTCACAATTACAAAGACCATACATTTAAAAGAATTTACACGTCCATTACAAATAAAATTTATAGATTCATTTCAGTTTTTGAGCACAAGTTTAGACATGTTGAGTAACAATTTATCAGATGAAGATTTCACCAATTTATCCATGCAATTTAAAAGCAAGCATTTGCATTTATTAAAATCAAAAGGTATTTATCCGTACGATTACATGGATTCTTGGAATAGATACGAAGAAACTAAACTTCCTTCAAAAGAATTTTTTTTTAATAATTTGAAAATGGAACATATAAGTGATAAAGACTTTAATCATGCACATTCTGTGTGGAATGTATTCAATATTAATACTCTCGGTGAATATACCGATTTGTACCTTAAATGTGACGTTTTATTGTTATGTGATGTATTTGAAAATTTCAGAAACTTGAGTTTAAAATATTACAAATTAGATCCAGCCTATTACGTAACATCACCGAGCTTGAGTTGGGATGCTATGCTGCTTTCGACAGGCATTGAACTAGATTTGATAGATGATTTGGAAATGTATCAAATGTTAGAAAAAGGAATACGCGGAGGATTGGTTCAGTGTTCATTACGACACGCTAAAGCCAATAATAAATACTTACCAGAATTTGATGATTTCAATCCGTCATCTTATTTGATATATTTAGATTGTAACAATCTGTACGGACATGCAATGACTAAAAGTTTGCCTTATTCTGAATTTAAATTTTTAAATAAATATGAAATTGAAACGTTTAATATTTTGACAGTACCTGAAAATGGAGACACTGGGTTTATTTTGGAAGTGGATCTAGAGTATCCTGAGAACTTACATAATTTGCACAGTGATTTGCCATTCGCTCCGGAGAAATTTATTCCCCCGGGAGGAAAGTCTCCGAAATTGATTGCGAGTTTATATGATAAATATAACTACGTTGTTCATTTCATTCACTTGAAAGAAATGTTGAGAAATGGTTTAATTTTAAGAAATATTCACCGTATACTGAGCTTTAAACAGTCAAATTTTTTACAGAAATACATAGATTTGAATACAAATCTGCGGCAATCCGCTGTGTCCGTTTTCGAAAAAGACTTTTTTAAACTCATGAATAATGCAATTTTCGGTAAAACTATTGAAAATAGACGCAAACAAGTAAGTGTTAAATTGATCACAACTTGGAAAGATGAATATAATTTAACAAAAAAGCGACTTGATGCTGAAACACTTATTTCTCGCCCAAATCTAAAAAATATTTCAGTGTTCTCAGAAAATTTTCTAGCTGCTCAATTTACTCCAGAAAAGATTGTGCTCGACAGACCTATCTACATTGGGTTTTCAGTTTTAGAATACGCAAAACAGCATCTATACAAGTTTCATTACGATTTTATTAAAAAGATATATAATCAGAATGCAAAACTTTGTTATACAGATACTGATAGCCTCCTATACTTGATATTCACAGAGGACGTTTACAGAGATATCAAAAATAATTTGTCGGAATTTGATACTAGTAACTTTGATTTAAATAATCCATACTGCATAGAAAGGGTGAATGCAAAAATCCCCGGCTTATTTAAAGACGAACTTGGGGGTGATGTGATTAGAGAATTTGTAGGTCTTAGAGCAAAACTTTATTCCTTGAACAGCATTAAAACACGAATCAATAAAGCTAAAGGTGTTTCTAAGTGCGTTACTAAGAATCTTACTTTATCACAATACAAAGACTCATTATTCAACGTCAAAGATTTAAAATGTAAAATGAATTTAATTAAATCAATCAAGCACGTACTTTACTCTCAAGAGCTTAATAAAACGGTTTTAAGCAATACTGATGATAAAAGGCAGATACTAGTAAATAAAGTCAACACCTTACCTTGGGGGCATTACAAAACAATTTTTTAATTTATCTTTCACTAACATTCGTAATGATATTTGCCTGCTGTAAAGTATATTATATTTGTAATTCGATAAGGAATTTTTACTTTTTCGTTATTTTCATGTTTATATATTTTTTTTTATTTTTAATGTATGTTTTTTACTTTTAATATTTGTAAGATTAAGATTTGTAAATACGCTTGTACTAAATTTAAATAAAGAATTTATATTATACTTATCGCATTTGTTTTGTTCATAGTTTCAATTCCTCTGATTGACGAGTATATAAATACTAAAACATTCAACTCCCTCTCACTTCACGATGAAGTTCGTAAAACAAACTCAAACTTTAGAAGTAGCTAATATTAAAGTAAAAAATTATTCAGAAAAAGTAAAACATAGTTCGCTGTTACCAAACACAATCCGGTGCATAGTATGCGGTCCTTCCAATTGTGGTAAAACTAACATTATGTTGAATCTATTGTTACATGAAAATGGTTTGAAATTTAAACATATTTACTTGTATTCAAAGACAGCATTTCAACCAAAGTATACTTTTTTAAGACAAGTTATGGAAGGTGTTCCAGGGGCAGAACTATTTATATTTAACGAGAACAAGGAAGTTCTTCATCCCAACGATGCTTTGACAAATTCAATTATGATTTTTGATGATGTCGCTTGTGAAAACCAAATGAATATTCGTAATTATTTTGCTATGGGGAGACACAGACAGATAGACTGTTTTTATTTATCTCAAACTTATTCAAAAATACCTAAACAATTGCTCAGGGACAACGTCAATGTGTTGATTATTTTCAAACAAGATGATATTAATTTAAGACATATATACAACGAGCATGTAAATACAGACTTAGATTGGTCTACATTTAAGCGGCTTTGTGTTGTTATATGGCAAGATCAATTTAGCTTTTTATTAATAAATAAAGATTGTGCAATGAATATGGGAAGGTATAGACAAGGATTTGACACGTTTATTTACTTATAAAATCCTCATATAAAGCAATTTGTTGTCTAAATACCGCACTTGCAGTCGAGTGTTCGTTTAAATTGGTAGATTTATCAATAATCCGTACAATGGAAATAGATTTAAAAGAGCAACTCGTTAAATCGGTGGACAATATAAAGAATAAAATAAAAATGATTCAATGTGATGAAGATGAAGCTAATCTGAAATACAAAAACGTCTTTAAATCTATTACAGAACCTCTAGAAACATTGCTCAAAAATAAAAAGTCTATCCCCACTTTCACCATGTCAACCAAAATAGATGAAACTGGTGGTAGTGAGGACTTGAACTCTTCTACAGATTATGAAAATTTCAAAGACATAATCAACGCAGATTCTAGTGACCATTCCGAATATTATGAATATGCTAACGATGCCAGTAAACGTTTATTAAACGAAAGTAATGGTAACGACACTCTTTTATCTCTAAAGAAAGAAGACATGATGGATATGTATGAACATTTTAATGTACCATTTGGCATTCAAACCAAAAATAAAAAGCTTATGATGGGAAATAGTGCTGTTAGTTTATCTTATATACCTGATGCTTCTCATGCGGAAAAAAGGTACATAATTACCATCAATGACAAGAAGTATGAATTAACCGCTGGTTTAAAGGAACTTCTAATGCGTAATAAACCTGATCTTACGATTGTGACCGAAAAAGACAAAAGTGAATACAAAGAAATGTTAATTAACACTAACGCACACAAACGTGATTTTGACCCGAACGGAAAATTAAAAGGTGATAAAGGATTAAAATACTGCACAATCATCAAGCCTTTATTTTCTCAACTAAATGAACGCAATACAGATTTAGTCAAAAAGTTACCACAATTAAAAAGCGGAGGATACTTGCCTGAACTAAAACAATATAAAAGTAACACAGATTATATTTATTGGGATGATCCAAATGAGTTGATTGAAAGACTGAAACTTTTAATTGCATCTAAAAGCGCTGGTAACAACAATCATGATAATGAAATTGTATCAATTATTGAAGAATTAAAGGAAGCCGGTATAATAAAAGAATAAAATCTATTTTAGTATCATCATTACCCTAAGTATTCTAATGAATATAAGACATGAATCTCGAGAAAAAAAATGATACTGGCGTAGATAATTTTAAAGTAGAAGTAATTAAAATCTCATCTTCAGATAAAGCTGAATTACCCGATATTGTTAGTAAAGACTATGTTGATAAAATTGTTAAGAAGAATTCAGACAATTTAGTACATATTGAAAAGTTAATTTTGATCTTAGTTGATCGTATAAAAGATATTGAAAAAGACATTGCTTTGAAGGGACTCGAAGGAAAATTGAACAAGCATTATGAGCAAAGCCGACGTTGTTAATGAAATTCATAAGAATGCTAGAGTGAATTTTCCCCGGAGAAGTGTATTGTTAAGGGATATAGATGACCTTTGGCAAGCAGATTTGATAGATATGCAAGTTTTATCCAAATTTAATGCTGGATACAAATACATATTGGTGATTATCGATTGTTTCTCAAAGTATGCTTGGACATTTCCCCTCAAACGAAAAACTAAAGAAAACGTGTCTAAAGAGTTTCAAACATTATTAGCAAGGGGGGCGTTACCCAAAAAATTTACAAACTGATATGGGAAAAGAATTTTATAATAATTTATTTAAAAAAGTTATCAAACAGTATAATATTAACCATTATTCTACATATTCTACGAAAAAAGCCTCAATCGTAGAAAGACTTATAAGAACTCTCAAGACAAGCTTGTACAAGGAGTTTAGTTTAAAAGGAAATTATAATTGGAATGATGGAACCCTCGACAAAAAAGTTTACGAATACAATCACGCTTATCACAGAACAGTCGGAAAAGCACCAGCTACAATTAATCACAGTAATAAAGGAACTGTATTACAGAGATACATTAACAATACACAATGTAAAAAAGTATTGACTAGAAAAAGATTTCAAGTTGGAGATTTCGTAAGAATCAGTAAATACAAAGGATTTTTTGAAAAGGGGTTTACACCTAATTGGTCTACAGAAATATTCAAGATTACAAAAATCCAACAAACCAGTCCCCCTACATATTTGCTAGAAGATTCAAAATCAAGACCAATTTTAGGGGCGTTCTATAGTGAAGAAATTCAGAAAACTGTACACCCTGAGATATATCTTGTTGAAAAAGTTTTGAAACGCAAAGGAAACAAAGTATATGTTAAGTGGTTAGGTCTTCCGTTAAGTGAAAACAGTTGGATTGATAAATCAAATCGTTTGTAATTGTAAAATATAGTGTATATAAATATGCTATTCAAATTTCGTGTAATCATTTGTATTGAGATCTTAACATAACAAAGACCGCTTTGAATAAAGTATTCGCAAACAATATTATTGAAAATGAAAAACTTAAATGATAATTCCGATAACGCGAATCAGAAGAGAAAAGACAAATTAGCAACCGCTCAGAAAACTGGAGCGGGTATGACAAAAACGATATTGAGCAATATTATTTCGCATACTAAAAAACATATCCGCAAACTAAAACCAAAATGCAAGAAAATGTTAATAGAATTAGCATATGCAGCTGCTCAAGAATTGGCTTCTGACTTACCCGTACCGTTACCGAGAGTGATACCTGTACCTAAAACCGGTGGATTTCTACCATTAGTTCCTATTTTTGCCGGATTATCTGCTACAGGAAGTTTAGCGGGGGGTGTTGATGGAATCACCAAAGCTGTAAATAATTATAAGTCAGCCAAAAAACAACTATCAGAATTGAAGAGGCATAATATAAAAATGAAAGCGATGTGTATTGGAAAAGGATTACATCTGAAGCCGTACAAAAGTGGTTTAGGAATTTATGTTTCAAATAAAAAAAACTAGATACTGGGCTACCCAATAGAGCTTTAACTAATATAGATATTATAAAGCACACAAAAAATATTCCTCACTTTCGTGGTGTATTTATGAGAGACGAATTGCCGAAGGTGCCATGGTTAATGGAATGTGGTGTGATTAATTTAGATTCTTCTAGAAATTCTGGAACTCATTGGGTAGCTTATGGAAAATTTAAAGATTATATCGAATATTTCGATAGTTACGGTAACTTAAAACCACCGAAAGAGTTTATAGCATATGTGGGACCACGTATTCAATATAATTATGATAATTTACAAGGAAATCATCTATACAACTGCGGGCATTTGTGTTTAAAATTTCTGACATCATTTTGGAAAACTAAATATTTATGATTCAACTACAAAGACAATAAATAAATAAAATGAAATGTTAAACCAGTGGAGCACATTCCTACACGAACATTGTTCAGAATTGGGTGCTAAGTATATGTTTATTATAGTAGTCATCATAAAACATTATCTTATATTTTATAATATTAAATCAATATGTATGTTTACAATAAAACCTTATTGAATGAACAAAAGTTCAATATTCAGCTTCCAGTGTTCAAAGGGAGAAGACGATTAGGCACAACAAAGAAAATTACTAAAAGTAATAAAAACTTTCTTCTTTCTCTTGGTTTAGAAATAAATAATAAAAAATAAACATGTTGCAAATATCGGACCCACCACAGCAAGATAATTCCATTGAAAGCTATGAAATCCACAGCTATAATCCCTACAATCATAGCTATAAAGAAAACGATGAAATTAGAATACCTATTCATCAGCAAGATGTTTATATATTACCATCCGCAAGCTCCATTTACATTGAGGGGTGTGCAAGTGTATTTGAACAAGATGCAGCAGGAAAAAAAACACCAAAAGAGATTAAATTTATAAATAATCCGATATTATTTTTATTTCAATACATAAAATACGAACTAAATGGTGTTGAAATAGATCATGTTAAAAATACGGGAATCACAACAACCATTAAATCTCTCATCTCAATGAATGAAGGAGAAAGTAGAAGTGCAGCACTGTGGGGCTGGAATTTAAATGGGTCCACTCGAAAAGATGGTCATTTCTCTGTTATTATACCACTAAATAAAGTATTAGGATTTGCAGAAGATTATAAGAAAATTGTCGCCAATTGTAGGCATGAACTTATACTTCATCGAAGTAATACAGTTTTAAATAGTGTTATACTTGATAGCAAAGATAACGTGGCAATAGACATACAAAAAGTTCAATGGCGTGTACCGCATGTTAGAGTTTCAGACCGTAACAAATTATTATTACTTAAGCATTTAGAAAAAGATAGACCCATACAACTAGCTTTCCGGAATTGGGATTTATATGAATATCCTCTTTTACCTAAGACAACAAAACACTCGTGGTCAGTGAAAACTGCTTCTCAGTTAGAAAAACCAAGATATGTTATATTTGGTTTACAAACTAACAGAAAACTGAACAAATCGAAGAGTCCATCTGTTTTTGATCATTGTAATATAACAAATGTCAAGTTGTTTTTAAATTCACAGTACTTTCCTTATGATTCACTTAATTTGAAATTTGATGAAGACAAATATAGTATATTATACGAAATGTATGCTAACTTTCGTCAGTCGTATTACAACACGAGCATCGATCCCTTGCTTGATTTGAAAGCATTTGAGGAAAAAGCTCCACTGTTCGTTATTGACTGTTCAAGACAAAATGATTCACTGAAAACAGGACCCGTTGACGTTCGTTTAGAGATCGAATCTTCAAAAGATATACCTGAAAATACAACTGGCTACTGTCTGATCATAAACGATCGTCTTATTGAGTATAGACCACTGAGTAACATTGTTCGAAAAATATCATGAACGTGGTTATGGATATTCAAGGTTTTAAAAACGAAAACAATCAATTTATACCGAAAGAAATCGCAATTATTTGTAACAAGAGTATGCTTGTGTTGTTGATTAAACCACCATACCGATTTTATAACCTAACAAAGAAGGAACGTATACAAGTTTCATGGATAGAAAAAAACAGAGGAATATTATGGAATGAAGGATATGTGCCTTATTGTAATTATAAGAGTTTGATGTTAGATTTCTGTAAAAATAAACGTGTTTATGCAAAAGGATTTGAAAAAGTACGGTGGTTGAAGAAGATAATAGAAAGTGATAATGTACATAATCTAGAAAACGTAAACTGTCCTAATTTAGAAACATTAAGTGATAAATATTCAATGTCGTCGGATATTCAAAATTGTATATACCATACTAATATATGTGCTTTTAAAAATGTATCCTATTTGAATAAGTGGTGTATAGAAAATAATATTTTTTGTAAATAAACTATGTGAATCCATTAATGCTGTTTTGTTTTAATTTCTCGATATAAGAGTTCATGAATTCTGAATATACGGACTTCTTAATAAATTTAAGATCTTATTATTTTTTATTCCAACCTCTATCTGAATAGATGTAATGGCTTCTTGAATAGATGTTAAATAAGTGAACACTTTGAATACATGCAATACGACTTCTTGAATATATGTAATGACTTCTTGAATAGATGTTATTGGGGTGTCTGGATAACTCCAACCTCTATCTGAATAGATGTAATGACTTCTTGAATAGATGTTAAATAAGTGATCACTTTGAATACATGCAATACGACTTCTTGAATAGATGTAATGACTTCTTGAATAGATATTATTAGGGCGTCTGGATAACTCCTTGTATCCAGATGCCCTAATAATATACTACTATCGTTCTGCTAATACTTTCGGTTAACTTGTATCAACAAATTCAATAAAGACCATAATAACATCGCGAAATAGACTCCTCCAAACGAACTATACCAATATGCAACAGGACAAATGTTGTCGCTGTAAAAATACGGATTCCTACGTCATGCGTGATACGCACTTGGCCAGTTTAATGTTTGGGTTACATTAAAATTGAAATCATCGTGTGAAGCATATTTATGTGCAAAATTTCAAGCACGTAGCTCTTATAGTTTGCAAACTGTGACCTGATAAAGTAAACATTATGTTTTCATGAACAATTTTACATGATCTTGTTGGCAGAATTTAACTTCAACTGTGTAGCATTGCTGTTACGGAATATAAAGTAAAGCCTGTACCAACTTATACAAAAAAGATGTAAAATGTGAGAATTAAATAAAAAAGTAACAACTTACTTATGACACGCCTTGCAGTTAGCATTCGTGGTTGCGCTGTAAAGCCAGACAACGAAGCTGTCACTGCAAATAACGAAAAATAATATTCTTTAAACGTGTGGGTCATAGTTTACATCTACGTAATAATCACGTGATACTAACACATATGCCACACTACATTCATCTCACAATGTTTTTGCTTTTGATGCAACGCGCTACTCTTGAAGGTGGTGGCTGAAAATCAGTGCTTTGCTTTTGGGCAAATTTTGCACTGAGCCACGATCTATTTGGCTTGCTGCAGCACACACAAGCTGTTGACCATTAGGTTAGTACTATGTTTTATGTTGTTTTTTTATTTATTCTATTGCTGTTTGTATTAATTTTATATTATCTCTATCTCTTTTAATCAAGTTACTGTATTATATTATTGTGTGTGTGATGCAAGACAATAAATGTCTTATCTATCTATCAGTAAATATGTGTTTATATCTGTGTACTAATTTATGTTCTATGTGCTTTTGTGTTATACCTTGTGAAGTGATTGTAAATGTTTGTGTGTGTGAGTGTGTATGTGTGTTGAATCGCTTAATATCATATTGACTAGATACCTATACGATGATAGAAGAGCTGCAGTGACTTCGAAGGCGCCTTTATAGTTGAATAGTTGAAGAGATATCCATTCCGCCATTTCACAATATACCTACTCAGTGTATTATAGGTAACACAATATCGTATGTACTAATTAGTAACTATTATTACCTTGCACTTTCACTGGTCGTTGCGATGGTAATGTCTGGTCTCCTGGAATACAAAGTGAAGTTTTGGATTCTGATTTGAACTGACTGATTCACATTTAAGCTGGTGACAGTATCTACTAACAGGCTAACAAGTTTAACAAGAACGCTTTTTCTGGTTAATCTGTACGAAATCTTTAATTTGGGTGATTTAAGGCTATAGTGAATGCATATTTATTACTTTTTAGCCAAATGCAAAACACTGATGGGAGGCTACCAACGCAAAAGTGGTATATAACCTATATGATATGCAACCACTGAAAAAAAGCAAAAAAGTCAGAAAAACTGGTCTTCATCCTCACTTTATTCATCATAATTTGCCTTTATTGAAATTTGAGTACTAAATTTACAAAAAACGTTATTTACCTTCATAGTTATTACAGTTACAAGTAATAAACAGATTGTCTATGATCCTGTAGTTGCTCAAATATATAAATTTATAAATTTATTTGGCGTACTGATTGTGAATTTTTCTGAGTTTTAAATATCCAGTATCCGGCCGGCCTATTACTACTGTCCGGTCGGATATCGGATAGTAATAATAGGCCGGATAGGCCAAATACCGGATAGTTACCGGATATCTGTTTCATCTCTACTTTAATGTAAAGTTAAAGTAATATTGTTTTAAGAGGTTGTGGTAGGCCCCCTGTAATGTGAGCATTACTGCGTTCCAGTTTTGAAGGGTAGGGGTGCTAGTGAAATTACAGGCACCCCTCCGATCTTTGCGTTTTAAAGCTTTGAGTGGCACTGCAACTGTTAAGGACAGGCGTGTCGCTTACCACCAGTCCCACGACTTATTCGTCCCGTCACTTGCACTCTACAAGCATTTCATAATGTTACGCCACTATTGGACTGACAGCCTTAACTAATATAATTAATAGTATGAAATAAAAATTTCAAGATACCTAATATCCTACTCGGAACATTTACTAACAAAATTTGCCACGGAAATTAGGCAGTGAACGCTAACTCGAGAATGAATGTTATGAGGTCAAAGTTAGCGTTTTGATCAAAAAGTTTTATTTACCTGTAGACAACATTTGTTTCGGTATTCGAACTTTGTGTCGTCGAAGTTTATAACAGTATCCTTTCTGAGTACTTTCTGCAAAAAAAAACACAATGTCAGTCTATGCCTACACTCATACCGTTGTTAATGCATAGAAACGTATATTTGCGGCTTTTACGGACGCCATTCGTATAACCTCGTGGTGCTTTCGCGTTGCATAGCGCGGACCGTGTCACGCGCCATGCATAGATTGGCAAGAATGAAAGAAACCAAATAGACAAACAAAATAGAACAAAAGAAAAAACCAAAACAAAGAAGTAAAACAATACAATCAAAACATTTGATGTAAAATAAATAATTACGAAACAAAAGCGGAAACAAACATTTATAAAAAATTAATAAAATTTATTATAACGTTGCTAGGCAACCAATGATTGCATAGGAAAACAACATTTTTTCTCATTGTCCATGATTTAGGCTACTCTGGCCACGGCCTGCTCGCGTAATTAGGCAAATAGGTAATTAATTTACGTAGAAGTAATAACATATCTGACCAATAACTATAAAGTTGCAAAGCACCTATTGATACGAACGATTTATGAATAAAATAATTAAGTTATTAATACATACTGCTGTTAGAAGGTAATGGTAAATGAAAATAAATAAAATTGTTAGATTTTATTTTATATTAATTTACTACATAATTATCTCATCCAGCATCAACTTCAGATTCTGAGCCTGAATTACTATTGGAACTAGAAACGTTTGCTATCTCTTCATTCATTTAAAAAAATCACAAAGGATGACACTGTTTTATTAAAAAAATAATTACTGGTAATATTTATGTTAGTTTTAAATTACTTACTGACGTTTTTAAACTTCTATTAACCTAATCGCATTTCGGGGAAAATATTGAAGTTGTGATAACTGAGAAACAGTCTTCAGATGAAAATCCTAAAATTCATATATTTTTGTTTGTTGACATTTATTCTACATCGAACTAGATTTTAGTACTGCATCTGTCACGTTTCAGTTACAGCTCGCTGTGGGAGTTACCACACTTATCTATTAACGCAGAATCACATTAAGACGGTCAGAAAAAGTTTTATGTCCATAAACGTAAGAGCGAAAAAGACGTTGTGCGTTTCGCATCGGTTCGTCACAGGTCAGCAACGAATCTGCTTCCTGTGAATTTCGAGTCTCAATGCGACAAGTGTGGTTAAACACGATCGCATTAAGACGATTTTAATAAATTTGGTGACACCCTAATGAGTACCAGGTTTCCAATGAATTTAGATACACACAAAACAAACGGGTAGTGTTAAGTATTAACGCTTGGTAGCTTATTTTTTGAGGTAGGTAAGCAATTAACAGAAAGGATTTTAATTTCATAATGGTGAATGTAGCCATCGATCATACAGACGGCAGCACGTTAAGCGACACATTGACGGATATTTTACCATGGCGCAGGTGAAAGGTGTTGGTGGTCACCACTTCGCCATGGTAGTTTGGTGGAGAATGATATATATGGAATGGAAAGACGAGTCGTGGTTTGGTAAAAGACTGTGTTATATTTTGTTTGAGCTACTTATTTATACTAATTTAGTACGTATGTCTTATGCTGATTCACAAGGAATGGTTGTTACTTTTGCTTTTACTAAGACGTGCTTGAATGTCTGTGGCTGCTACAGATCTTATTCCGATGCTTTGTATGCGATATTGGAATACCAGTGCATAATAATAATAATAATAATACCCAAATACCGCCTCTCCCGTTTAAAAATTCTAAATTTATCTTTTAGGCCTTGGGAGAGGCGAGATTCTAAAATAGATAAATAATAATAACCTACATAGCTCTACAAAAGTCAATTGTACTAGACACATGCTCGATAGTCCGCCGTTTCTTAAATACACCTGATTCAACAAACTCCACAAAAAATCACCACTCACTCACATCCCCTCACAATACCACAACCGAACCAGAATACTTGGCTTAGGCCCGTACCTGGTTCCAAATATCCGATCTTCAGTTGAGTACAAGAAAAAATCTTAACATAATAATAAACAAATATTTATCCATAATTATATGCATCTTTTAGGCCTTGGGAGAGGCGACAGTCTAAAATAGACATAATAATAATAATAATAATAAAATAATATAATAATAATGTGCCAGACAATCACACCAATTGCCTCGTCTCAAACTAGAGAATTGCTTGTACTATGAGTATCAAAGCAACGGAGTTTTTTCTGAGGCACTTCCCAGAGCACTTAGACTAGAACCAACTTAGAAAAGTTCATTTCCCAAGTTGGTTCTATGGGAATCGAACCCTCCTCCTCCATCTCCCATCCAGCGCCCAGTGTAAACCGTTAAGCTACCGAGGTCGTCGAAGCTTTATGTGTCGTGAACTGTACAATCGGGGCGAATTGGCCATTAGTCTTGGTTTAGCCGGAAACGGATGGTAAATATAAGATAACTTGAATAGGAAAAGATTCTAAAAGGAAACAAAATTAAAATGCTTAAATTATCGCGCTACCGCACGAACAAATGAACAAACTTCCTACTTATCCCAAATTCCTGTTATCTTTACCTTAAAATTAAAACATTTGCAATGGCGGTAAGGGATTTATTACCTGCTATCGTATTTGTTACACTGATTCGACAGCATGAACTACTTGTCAATGCTGCAGTTTCTGTAACAATTAAAATATTCATAGTTTCTGCAAATGCCTAACACTTTAGTACGGAAACAACGTTCACCACGGTCGTACTCAAAGGTTTGAGTAGGTACGGTACAGTGTATTTTTAAATAAGACAGTATGGGGAAATCCGAAACCATAGAAGATACAAGGAAAGCCCTTTTTTGTGAAAACTATTTTGTCATAGTCAATATTTTGGTCAAGTGTGAGTTGTCCATAAAAATGGACAAAATTAATCAAATATTTTTTCCACTACTGATCAACTCAATTTCAAAAAATGTGGGGCGAAAAAATCGGGACAGCAGATCAAATCAAATCATTTATTTCTTTGTGATACACAGGTTATAAAGTTGTTACAAGAATGAATTTTAAAGAAGGTGGTCAAATTTCATAAAATATTTTTTCATACATAAATGAGTAATTATTTTTAATGCTAATAGAGTCAGTTTATTATAAGGATGACTGCAATATATCGGAAGAATAAAATCGGGACAGCAGAAGTTGGACAAATTTAATAAAATGATTTTTCATACAAAATTAAAAAAACTGACTATTATTTTTAATACTGAATAGACTCCATTTATTATAACAATGATTTTATTGTATTGGATGAAAAGAATTGGGACTGAAAATTAATTTAAAAAGTATGAAATTTTTTTAAATTAAATTTGACCAACTTCTCCTGTCCCAATTTTTTTCTTCAAATATAATGAAATCATTCTTCTATGAAACGGAGTCTATTAGCATTAAAAAAAAATTCATTCATTTGCTTGAAAAAATATTTTATGAAATTTGACAAACTTCTGTTGTTCCGATTTTTTTCGTCCCATGTAATGGAGGGATCTTCATGAAAGAAACCCAGTCAATCAGAACTAAAAAATGTTGATCAATTTTGTAATTTTTTATGGAAAACTCACTTTTGGCCAAGAAATTGACTATGCTATGGCTGTACTATGACTATGTTGACAGTATCAGCCTCGTGGAAAAGATCCTCAGATTCAGGGTACCGAACAATTACTGCAACAGGCGGCGTGGAGTTCCTCTCCTGGCAACTGTGCACACGTACGAAACAGCACTGACACTCGCCCATCCCCGTCGCGACTGCTCTCCTCAAGTCCTTACTCTTAGCATCGACGCAGTGTTTATGACTGGGATGGCAACATTGATGAATTAATGGAATAGTGTTAGAGAAAAGCCAGGAAGTTTATTAGCCAGTACATAATCTTTGTTTAGGTCAGTGATTTGTTATTAATTATGCTGTAACGCGATGATGCATACTGTAATATTACGTTTTTAAATAAATAAATAAATAAATATCAAAATTTTTTCAAAGAAAAGGTTCCTAAGATAGTTAAGTTTCCTTGTATCTTCTATGGTTTCGGATTTTCCCACATTGTCCCATTAAAAAAACACTGTATACTGATATGTCTGTCTGTCTGTGCGATACATTTAAACGGTCTTATTTTTGGCTTCACCAATCACCGTAACTATATAGTATAACGACACAGGTATGGTAACCACACAAACGTAGCAGCGTGCCGAGAACAAACGCTCACATTCACATAAGCTCGCGATACGTTCGACGTCGCGTTGCATAGCGCTGGTCGTCACACTTTCATTATTTTGCGAATGTGGACATCCGAACAGGGCGCGCAGCGGACATGCTCACATACAAGTCGCGCTGCTATTTTGCATGGAATTACCATACTTGCCTTATTGTACTATGGTAACGATTTGTGAGAAAACGGCAACTTACGCGTCGGCGTCTGTGTCTCTTCTTGTCTCCTTTCAAACATGGGTACTTTCCGGAATCGGCTCTTAAAGCGACGAAAATAACTATCTCTGGGATTGATGAGCGTTTGGAAACCTTCAAACAGTTATAAATTATACAATCGGTATGGATGTAAAAGCTCCACATACGAAAGTGTTGCAAATTAACAAACGTGAGCTGGTGTCCCTAACGCCGCAGTTTTCGCACAAGATACTTTTAGCATCGATACGTTCAGCGATTTTATGATTGCATTCCAGTTAATTACTTATTGCGGCTACGAAATCGCACATGTTTGGGGTTGATTATGTGCCCGATCGTCGTTCATCAACGCTAAAAGTACCGTACGAATCGTACAGGAGGCGTAATCATCAACACGCTATAAGTATTTTTTATTTATGCAGTGCAGAGCGTAGCTAGGCGCATAATAATCAAAGAAAAATTTGAAATAAAATTTCCAATGTTGTAGTTTGTGCTACGATTGTGTAACATTATTTTACGGAGTTTACCTTGTGTATCCACTGATTGATCCAAGTATGCTGAGTTTTGCATAAAGTCGTCATCATCCTTCGATTCTACGTAATTTTCGGCATCTATCATAACCGATGGTCCGTAATCTGGATTTATGGAGTCTGCATATTCTGTGTTTGCATATTGCTGATAGCCATATGTCGGTTCTACGTATCTACCTTCACTATAGCCTTGGTGTGTATATTGTGATCCACCATATTCTGGTGCACCATAATCTGGACTCGCAAATTCCGCTCCTTCGTAATTTGATGGGGAAAATTCTAATCCTGGGTATTCTAGTCCCGCATACGCACAGTCCCCATACGTCATATCTGCATAATCTTTTTCGGAGTAATCAGCATCTAAGTAATCTCCTTCGGTGAGTACAGCGTCTGAGCAACTAGCCTGGTTAATTGCAGTTTCTGCAGTATTCACTATAATCAAACGGAAAAATATTTACATAGGTAACAGACAGTTGACGATGTATGCTCCTACGGGTAGTACTAACGTGGTAACCTAATGGGTGGACCTACCGCCTCGCAATCATAGGCCGTGGTTTCGAATTTGGGCTCGCACCACTGACTTTTTCGGAATTTATGTGCGAAATTTCATTTCAAATTTTTGAAGAAGAATTTGACCGCAAATTTGTCGGCCGGATCGGATTGGGCACCTTTTTGTCGAGCCGCCATTTTGAAAAAATAACTTCGACTGCGAGTTGGCTCCTATCGCTATATTAGTTTGAACACTATCTACCTATCTCCAATAGTTTCCGAGATACGGGCCCCCGAAATTTGTATGGCGGCCATTTTGTTTTTCGAATTTTGAATTTTTTTCACTCCCTGTAAAAACTGCTCAGGGTATAGATAAATATGCATAAGTTAAATGACCTAAGCCCTCGCATGAGAAGATACCCATGTACAGCAGTGGGACATATAAAGGATTTCTGAAGTGAATGGTAATAAAGAAGTAATAATATCCTCGTGCTGCTACTAATGTACTGTCACAAATTTTATAAAATTTGTACTCGTATTTATTAGTGTAGATACTATTACCACAATGCATCATGTTATCGGTTTGTACACAGGGAACTATTACAACTGCATTTCCATATACTTTGAAAACAATGAAACAAAAGAGTAGTTTTATATGTCATTCACATTCCTGTAATTTTTCTTAAATTTAGTGTATTATGTGCTGTTGACCCTTATTTACTTTCTGTTGTTATTAATGTTAATGGTTTGTTTATAGAAAGGAAAAAATGTATGATTAGAAATACGTGTTCGTCTTGTAGGTTTATTTTATACAACTTATTACTATCGCATGTTAACTGTTATACAGGTAAAAAAAACTTTAAATGCATAAAAATGTTGATGGTGCTTGTACATTTTAGGGTGCTCCCTCACCGAGAACATTCGCCTGTAATGTAACATCCAAGATTTGATTAGACTGCGATTCCACCAGAGATGTGCGAGGTAGCAAAGCGCGCGTGTGAGTGCCTCTGAGAGCTTGCGAGTACCCGCGAGTGAATTTAAGTGCCCGCGAGTGAATTTAAGTGCCCGCGAGAGCCAGGAGTACCCGCAAATGCCCATGAGAGCTCGCGAGGGCCTTTGTGTGTCTTTGAATGCTTTTGAGTGCCGACGAATGCTTTAGAGTGCCAGCGAGTGCCTTTGAGAGCCCGCGAGTACCCGCGAATGGATTTGAGTGCCAGCGAGTACCTTTGAGTGCCTTTAGTGCCTTTGAGTCTCTTTGAGTGCCAGCAAGTGCTTTTAAGTGCCCGTGAGTGGCTTTGAGCGTCCGCGAGAGCCAGGAGCGCCAACGAGTGCCTTTGAGTGCCTTTTAGTTGATAATAAAGTAAATACTTTTTTTACTCTCTTGAGTAATAGATTAAACCTCACGATATGAGAAAAATGACATGCAGCCCTCGTGCCCCTACCAGTGGGAGTACCCAGTAGGAGCATGTGGAAATGGTCCTGAAAGCACAGGCCACAAAAAAAAGAATACAAAAGAGTATAAATTAGTACTAACATAATTCGGGTCGATTCCCAGTGACCTGACACGCGACCCCTTTGCTCTCGAAGTCGCTGTCTCCGTCCGGCACTACCATCGAACATGTCGACATTCCACCTGTAAATTTACATCGTTACGACGTGATATCGTGGGCTCCGAAGTTACATTTCAATACTTCCACGTTAGCCTATTATTCTTAATAAGGAAAAAAATGCGTGTTTGAAGTTTTTCGTTTTTATTTAAATTTTGAGCCAAATAAAATACTTTACTTGAAAGAATACCTTTACGTTCCTAACTCTTATATTTCATATACAGTAATCCCTAGATTACAAAAGTGCGCACACTAGACCCGAATAGTCACTTAGATGGCAAAATCAAGCTGGCGTCCAAAAAACTCGGTGCGTGCAATAAGGCTAAGCGGAATTTCAATTTGGAGCAGAGACTGCTACTTTATAAGGCACAAGTCCGTCATACATGGCATACTGCTGCCATCTTTGGGCGGGAGCTCCCGTATGCCAGATTGGGGCATTTGAAAGGCCAAAGACCAAAGACCAAAGGCCAAAGTGCTATGAGAATTGTTGACGATCCTGTGCTCAACCACCTAAATATTCAACCACTGTCTTCGAGGACAGACTTTGCCTCCATATGTCTGTTCTATCGCCTGTACAATGGCCAATGTTCTGAAGAACTGTTTGACATGATGCCAACAGCAACATTTTATGATAAAATGGAACCGGGCACATATTCTGGAACCGAATCGATCACGTACAGCACGGTTTCAGAGGAGATTCCTCCCACGTACAATTAGGTTGTGGAATGAACTCGCTGTTGGGGTTTTCCCGCAGGAATACTACATGGAATCCCTCAAAAGGGGTTTGAAAAGAGTCCTAAAGGGTTGGCAACGCGCTCGTGACGCCCCTGGTGTTTCAGGCGTTCATAGATCGTTTTCCATCAGGCGGGTCTTATGCTTTTTGTTTTGCCTACATAATATAAAAACAAGTTTTATAAATAAATGTGAAATGAGAGAGCGCCTTGAAATAGATAAATAGGCTTTACTGAATTAAAAAATACACGCACATTTTCAAACTCAACAATTGCACAAGCCTCCATTTCTATAATCGGGTACTTCTTCTCACAGTTACTCAGAGTCTTAGAGGAGAACGCAATAGGCCTCCATTTTGAGTAAGAGACGCTGCAATAGATAAGTCCTGAAGTATCAGTTTCAACAGTGAAAGGTGCTTTCGGATCAATAGCTGAGAGGGACGCCTTAGATACATCTAATTTATTTTTATTACAATAAGTTTCAACTCTTCAAAAGCATTCTTTTCAATAATATGTCTATGGGAACTGTTCTACGCTTGTGAGTGATTAAAGTTTCCTTGAGAAGTTAGGAACCCATCTTGAATAATGAGCGAATAGGCCAATAGCTCGTCTAAGCTATGGTGAATCTTTAGGGACCGGTATATCAAGTAGAGCACTTAATCGTTGAGGTTTCGGTTTAACTATAGCCAAGAATATTTACCTCTCGTGAATAATGATCAGCCACTACCATAAAACACTTAACTCCCTCGTGGTGTTCTGCTTCATCCCTACCGCATACAGTGATATCAAGTATAGATACACTCCGCTTAGATTAGTTTTTCTGATTATGGTATCGATTGACGTTTACAAGCATGCTGCAACGTTTGTGACGCCGAAAACTATACGAGTAAACTGATAAATATTCCCACAAGCTTCGCAGGCGGTGAACGGCATATTTGAGTCTAAGATTGGTATTTGGTGATAACATCGACTGGTGATAACCTGATTTTGAGTCAATTTTTGAAAATACTTTCCATTTTACGACTTTCGCTACAACATCATCAATATTAGGGAGAGGGTATGGTATGTAAATTTATTGATTGTTTGCGCATAATATATACACATACGCTTCTTGTGTTATATTCCAGAGGTTACCAGAGACAGCCCGCCATGGTGAAGTACTTTCTTCTATTATTGCTTCAGAAAAGAGGTTTTGAATTTCAGATTCTATGAACGTCCGTAGAGTGCCTTCTTGATTTTACACCTACAGGTGTACAATTAGGGGGTTCTTGATTTTACACCTATAGGTGTACAATTAGGGTTTAAGTGCGGAAAGAGGTTTACTGGTTCTATATTAGCTTCTTTTAATGCAAGTATAGTCACAGAGGGTTTGGGTTCATCAAATTTAATCTCGAACGAGGAGCATTGCGCCATTATGTCGTGTCCTATTATAACACCAGAACATATATTCTCCAGGACGCGAAGTAGCGTATTTGGATATACACTTCGATTTAACTGTATAGACGCATAACAGGCGGACTTTTCTGAGATTTTAGTACTTGAGAGGCCATTGATACGTTTTGTTTTCATGAACGTGTTGGAATATTGTACCTTTGTACAACTTTTTCGTCAATAAAACTTACTGTACTCCCAGTGTCGATCAGAACTTTGACATTTATCCCATTAAATTTTATAGGCATTACACATATATTCAAGCCAACTGTAGCTACAAATAAACAGGACGAGATCGAATCTTCCTCTTCTGCATTTGCAGTAGATGCTGAAGTTTGGCTTCGACATGATTTAGCGCAGTGCCCGCGTTTCCCATCCTTTAAGCACGTGCTGTTAGCGGCAGGGCAAAACCGACGTTGGTGTCTAAGATTTCCGCAGTGGTAACATTTCTCAGCTAGATTATCTCGTGTATATTGTTGGGCTTTATTTCTATTAACGCTATTGCTCGCAGCGGCAACATGAGATGAAGCATCGGCATGAGATGGAGCATTAAAACTTTCAGATTGAATCACCGCGGACTCTAAGGCGCGCGCTTTATTCTAAACTTCATCTAGAGTTAATGTTAGGTTTCCTAAGAGTTGCTGACGTATTTGTGGTGATCTTAAGCCAGCTATGAATGCTCCGCGAATCGAGTCACTCTCATTGTCTTGTGCGGTGACGGCTTTGAAATCACAGTCTTTGGCTAAGAGTTTTAAAGCATTTACGTATATGATCTATAGTCTCACCAAATTTTTGAGTACGAGTAGTCAGTTCGTGACTCGTGAAAATAATACTTTTTGGTTTAACGTAGATTGCCTAGCCTTGAAACGCGCACGAATAGGGTTCACAAGAAGTTATCATTTCTTCAATAGTCGGTGATACATAATTGGTCAGAAGTTTAAGCTTTACGCTGTCTGAATGATCTATTTGTCCATTTTACGTACTTGTGCTTGATTCCTGAAGAAAATTTTTAAATGATTTTCTCCAGTGCAGCCATTGTTGTTGTTATGGTACATTCGACGTCGAATCAATTTCGAATCGACCGGGTTAAAATATTTATACATTTTGTTCATTGCTTTTGCTCAATTTTAATTCAGTAAGTTGAAATTGGAGAGCGCCTTCAAATAAATAAATAGGCTTTACTGAATTAAAAACTACACGCACATTTTCTACAATGTTGACACTGACAATAAACCAAGAAGTTTCACCACAAAATGTAAATTAAGTTCTCAAGATATTGAAGTTTGAAACACTCATAAGTTAGTGGGTATGTAGAAAAGGTAAATAGTTTTGTGATTTGCTTTTATTTTTATTTCAATATCGACGGCCAGATACCTTTATACGCGAATTGACACAAGTATGGACACGACTCGTATCTCCAGACTCGTATATTGTTAGGCTGTAGCAAAACACATACAATTTTGTTGTAAACAAGCAACATTTTAAATTTTTTAACATTTCACATTTTAAAGAAACTAGTATTAGGCGTAAAATAAGGCTTTTTTATAGTAAGTACAATGTTTTTAAAAAGATCGTATAAATTGCATACCAATAATTGAACACCAATTGATTGATATGATACTTAATATGCATTTTAATATGCATTAACTGCCTCCGTGGCTGAACGGTTACCATGCCGGACTGCCACGCAGAGGTCCCAGGTTCGATTCCCGGGCCGGGAGAAATGTTTGTATGGCCTACATTTATTTCTCTCGTGAGTTTGGGTGTAATTTGTGGCTGTCTATATGTGTGTCCATGGCACCCGCGACACAGGGTTTCCCTAGTGCGGGGCTATGTTGAGTGTGTGCGTTATTTATTTTGTCACTATTTTCCTTCAGATCAGTTTCGAGAAAAAGTTATTGAAATTAGCATGGCTTCGATTCTATCATTTGAGAAGCCGATAGTCTTGTTCGTTGTTTCAGTTCCACTTTCTAAAGCATATTCTTTTCAGTGCTATTTTTCTCACTAGTCTCATAATATATGTCATTAGACAAGCATTGCGTTTCGTGTTGTTGAGTTACTATATTTAGATATCTTAAATTCATTACTTAGAAATTCTTTCAACATATGACACACCTTTCTCTTCTCTCTGCGTCCGTTTTCCGTGCATCCTAGCTACATATTCTCGCCGCCGCCGCCGCCGTCGCTTCCTCTGCCTGGCTACGAAAGGACACCAGTTAATAAGAGACGAACGTGGACAGGCGACACGCGGCGGCGTCAGCTACGAGGTCGCATTATTGTTGTGTCAAGAATCTTTCGAGCATCGTGAAACTATGGTCTTTTATTTTACACATCTGCAGACCTGGCTTTTTTATAAGTCTTAGCTCCACACAATCTTTTATTGTTGTTTTTGAATATATATGCTTGCAACGCGTTCAAGTGTCGTGTGTGTAGGTGTTTCCTTATCCGTATACATCAATAAATGTGCACATTAGAGAGCGTAGATATGCTTGTTACGGCGTCTCCACACATGAGACATTCTTTATTTATATTCAAAGGCGATTTGGGCAGGCCCGAGGGCCATCTGACAAGCCATCATCAAAAAACATGCTGGCTGCTGTACGTAATCATTCATAGTCGAAGAATGCTACACGAAAATTGCCATGGAGCATTCGGTTTACGCGGAGCAGATGCTCATGAAATCGGCACTACTCACGAAAAGCTGAGCGTCTAAATGCATATATCTATTAGTGCGATACATACCAAGTCTGTTACGTTGTTGCAAATGGTGCGACGGCAAAGACGTGTTGCGGGCGTAAGAATCCACGTTTATGTGGAAGTTTCCATCTGAAACATGTTTACTATCGTTGTATTAAATTAAAGATGTATGTGTTCATCAACTTAGGTCTCGCCACTATTAAGGTGGTGGTGACCAAGAACGTGTGGAGAGTTATCCAAAACCTAAGACCTTGCCGAATTTCAACGTCGCAATGTGAAAGAATATACTCTGTCCCCATACTCTAGCCAAATTTGAAAACCCTACAGGCTATAGTTACCACAATTTGATATTCGATTAGGCCATTGATAATAAATAAAATAAAAATATTTTATTGTCAGACACCACAGAAAGGTCCATAGTTTGTTAGTAGTAGTAACATTGTACTATATTATATACTAATAGAGAGACTATATTAATCTTGAAGTGTGTCATCCCTAAAATTTTTTTTAATTTGAAAGAAGAGATGGCAAACATGTCTAGATCGAGTAGTAAATTGATGTAAAATAAAATCCTACAATTTTATTTCCTTTCATCTACTATTACTGACTATCTATCAGGAAGTATTAAAAGGTATCGAAAACACTATTAGGTCCTTACCTATGAAAATGTCGTTGCATATAGAGAGAATTGATTTTTTTTTATGAAAAGTATATTTAATCAAAGTATTGTGACACTTTTGCCGATACACTTTTGCCATTTTAATGGAAGTTCATTGATGCCTGTGCTATGAAAATCCTAGGAACGGGAACGATGAACTGTATAAAGACATTTTTCTTCGCCTCATCGGATTTGATTTTTTTCCTGTAAAAAGTTATCCAATTTCCGAAAAAAATAAAAGTGTGGGACCAAGGTTTGGTGAGTATGGTGGGACTCTGAGAGTTTCCAGTGGTAACTTCTGTAGTTTTGAGAAGGTCCGATGTGCGGCGAGTTCATTCGGCACCAACTATCTTTCCTTTTCCTTATCGTTTTTACATGGTCACAGAAACAGGAAATCAAAGAAAAATCGAATGGCAGAAAAACAAATGAATAACTAATTTTAAAAAAGAAATATCATAGTTATATTATTACTATAATTTTAATTTAAAACTAAATAAAATGAAAGATATAACTTCCCAATATTTGCAGTCGGCAATTTCATACGTAAGAACCTAATATTTTATTCATAAATCATAGGTATCAATAGGTACTTTGCAAACTTTATAATAATTGGCAGGCAAGTACTTAAGTTCTACATAAACCAATCACCTTCGTACCTATTTAAAATCTAATTACGCAAGCAGGCCTTGGGTGGAGCTAACAAAAATAATTAGCAATGACAAAGTTTTTTTTTCCCATGCTAGCATTACTTGTCTAGCAACATTTTGTTATTAAACATTCTATACCGAATTTGGCGAGAGTACAGTACCAATATTATTTATACTAAAGCATTTTACACTACCTTTGTCCACTTCATATTCCGGCATTGGCATATTCGGTGGACGTCTTGCGGGATCCAGAAAATCTGAAAAATGCATTATTTACTTGTACCAGAATCATAATCCTTAAGGCATACGCACACAGATCAAGCACCAATTACCTTTAAGCTTCGGTCGGTGACGGGTAACGCTGTCAGATGAATATTCTAATTGCGTGGTTTGATGAGACGGAAATAAAAACATTAATTAGTCACACAAACAAAAACGGAGTTATATCAAGAAGTGGACACTTTCTAATATCGTTTTCATTGAACTCACGTGTGCTTACACAAGTAATCATAACAATGAAGACAGAGATCAACAAGATTCAAGAACACGTGAAATATTCAATTAACCTCTTTTCTTTTCAAGCTTCCTGATTTGAGTGGTTTAGTTTTTAACAGATCACTCTAAAGCTAATGAAATTGTTTATTACAATTTAATTAAGTAGTTAAAATGTACCTTGATCCGACATCATCGGCATCAAAGATGCGTTGGAAACTCTCGTTGGACTGAGCGCCTCGTCTGCTGTATGCACCATCGACTGAGGTGCTCCTTGCAGATCCAAACCTGTACCTGTTAGGTACAGGAGCATATTATGCATGTATTAAGGATCATTCACACGTTAACAAGGACACCAAATTTTAAAGATTTTGTGGTTAAAAAAAACCTAATGTAAAATTTAAAAACCTAACGGGTGTCGTTTAAGAGTCGATATAACCTCAAATGGCGTTGACTGATTCCGCATAACAGTGAAAGTGTTCAATCAATTGCTTTGGAAAAAATATATAGTAAAATTAATTATATACACTGATTACTATACGGTGTGAAAACACGATTCCTAAAAGTTTTCACGATAGAAAAAAACCTAATTATCTCGAAATTTTACAAGAAAACCACTGTATTGAATAGGTACTTTACATATAGGTACCATTTATTTATTTATTTTATTTATCAACTGAACTAAATAGAACACGTATAGTACATGATGATGTTGGGGTGTCAGGCAAGGAGACACAACATCACCGAAGTTGTTTACCCTAGCACTAGAATGCAAATTCCAACAGATGCAGTGGCCTGGGACTGATGATTGATGGAGAGAGACTTACCAATCTGAGGTTTGCTGACGACCTGCTTCTGGTTTCTGAACGCATCCAGGATACGCTGACGATGCTAGAGGATTTGAGGGTGGAATCCGAAACGACTGACCTTAAAATGAATATTGGAAAAACCAAGATCATGATCAACCTTCCTGAAGTCATGAACTACCAGCTTCCAGTGGAGAAAGTGACCGAATACATAAGTCTTCGAACAGTGTGTCATGCTCGTGCTCGTCTATGGTACGGAAACCATGACTCTTACAAAGAAGTCCGCCGAAAAGTTCCGAATCGCGCGGAGGGGCACGGAGAGAGCAATGCTCGGAATTACCCTGCGAGACCGAAAAAACAACTTCGGGATCCGAAATAGGACGTTACAAAGTGAAAAATGTCATGGCCGTCGGGACTAAGAAAAGGTAAAGAAAAAATAGGCGCCTTGACGTCGAGTTGCGGACACCAGCCCGTTGCACCAATTACAAAGTAAGGTGGGCGTGGGCGGGGCACATTGTGAGAATGGACGAGTGGCACTAGACAAGGCGAGTACTTGAGTGGAGACCCTGAACAGACATCAGAGAGAGCGGCAGACCACCGCAACGCTGGATGGAGATATTCGACGACACGGAGGTCGGGACTTTATGAGTCGGGCACAAGATCGCCAAAAGTGGAAGAAAAGGGAAGAAGCCTACATCCAAAATTGGATAACAAAACGGCCGCCATGATGACGATGATGATAGTGTATATATACATTTTTCTAAATACTTTAATTTCGTTTGTAAAAAGAAATAATTCTGAAATAAAGTCAGGGTTCCTGCCGCTCGGCCGATGTAAAATAAACCGTATTAGTAGGAAAAAAAATTGGAATTCGAGCTGAGGTAGTATCGACTCTTACTATGTAGAAAATCTCAAAAGGACCAGGTTCTCAATTTTCCAGGGTTCGAGGTTTAAATAATTAACATTGATAATTATCGTGACAACTATCACGATAATTATCTTGATATATACACCTTGATAATAATCTTGATATTTACGAAATGAACTGGAATAACAGAATACCGCTATAATGTCGTGTCACGTGTTTGTATCAGAGACGTATCCAAAGGTGTCAAATGTCAGTCTCAAAAAAGTTACTAACAAAATCGTTTTCCCAAAGATTTTTCTTCGTATTTAATTTTTTGTACAATATCAAGTGAAGGGACGAGCAAGTCGTGCGACTGATGGTAAGCTATATTGCCTGTCCATACCAGTTGTAGTGCCACTCAGAGCTTAAAATCGCAAAGACCTGAGGGACACTGCCACTGCGCCCGTCACTCTGAGACATAAGATGACCAGTCCCATGTGCCTGGAATTTCACCAGCAAACTCTTCCCCATTAAAACCGGAACACAGTAATGCTGACATTACTGCTTGGCGGCAAAAATAGGTAAGGTGGCAGTTCTTCCCTGAACAAACTCCCGCACACTACTGCAACTATAAAGTTGTATGTTTGTAATTTTTTGTAAATATTGAATATATTGAATAATTATCAGATATTCATCACAATAATTATCAAAGAAAATATCCTGATAATTTCGAACCCTGCAATTATTTATAAAGACTGTTTATGTTCTATGCAATTATATGCTCTAAGTAATATGCAATTATTTATATGTTCTATATATAAATTTTGGGCACACTCGGTATAGAAATTGTTTTCGGTAGGTACCGATATTTATTTAACTAAACCTATAAGACAAGTGACGGAGAAAAACTACCTGCCAAAATAGGATTAAGCGTGTCCCTCAGATCCTTCAAGTTCTTTAGCAGATTTTTCATAACAATGACGGATATATCTGGTACGTCTGTAGAAATATCAGCTGTTGTTAATACATAAATAGGGGATGGTCCTGCGAGCACGCTTTATAAAAACAGAGATAAAACGAAAACACAAAGGAAAACAGATTTTAAAAGTAAATCTTAGCGGAAACGGAAGCGGATGCGGAGACGGCAGTGTAAATAAATACTAGAAAGATCTCAATAAAGGTCCAAACAGCATTTATTTTTAGTAACACGACACAGAAATGCTAAAATACGCGCGCATACGCATACGCATCATTTTGTTTCGCGAGAACAACTTACTATAGTCTACACAATGTCCATGAATATTGTTAAAGTTACAAAATACATTTTTACATGTAAAATAAACGCACGCATGGCCACAATTATGACGATTTGACAGACTATGGTGCGCGTTCTTGTCTATTCTTCCAGTAGTAAGTAATTCTCGAGAAACAAAGCGATGCCGGAAGTGTATTAAGAAAAATAATAATAATAATAATAATAATAAATTCTTTATTTAAACAGAAAAGTTACATGTCATTGTAGGCCCTGGCTTCCGAGCTAGGTTCAAAGACCTGTGTTACGGAAATCAGTGTCTTCTCATAATTAGTGACACTTATTTATTTCTGGCAGTTAATGTATCTGCTATTAATATAACATTTACTAATATATATATACGTATATACATATTTATGTGTATTATTATGTCCATGAATATTGTTAAAGTTACAAAATACATTTTTACATGTAAAATAAACGCACGCATGGCCACAATTATGACGATTTGACAGACTATGGTGCGCGTTCTTGTCTATTCTTCCAGTAGTAAGTAATTCTCGAGAAACAAAGCGATGCCGGAAGTGTATTAAGAAAAAGGAACTTTAGTGCCGACACCATAAGCCGAGTTGCAGGGGAGGGCAAAGCCCCAAGCGTCCACACACCACATTACGTAGGTAGAATATGAAGGCTCTATTACGAGTACAAGATCTCACAATCTTAAAAATGTAAGACATACTTCCCAATGTAGTGGAAATAAGATACTTATAGCGTTGTTGTATCTCGACCGACTCTGAGAGTTTCCTTTTTTTTGGAAGCTATGTCGAAGAGAATTATTTTATGGGAAAAAAATATTGACGATTGACGGACGGAACGGAGAATTGACTCAAATGTAATTTTGGCCGATATTGAATTATATCTTAGACCTCGAGAGGATGGAAACAAAATAATAGAAAGGAGCTGCCCTAACTACGGAATGAACGTGCATACCCAAACAAAAATTGAAAGAACAAATGGCGGATTCCTTCAGTGTTGTACTGAATCTATCGATTAGTCATTATCGACATGCAAACATTTAATTAAAGTAGATCAATATACCATTTGGGAATGTTTTAGGTTTTGTGGGAATATCCGGGAATGTCACATGAAATTTTGAATTTATTGTTTTGCGTTTACAAATTCTCAAATATTATAAAGTTAATTTGCAACATTGCAAACATTGCAAAAACTATTTGCAAACATGTAATTTGAGAGTATATACAAAAGGGAAAACTTTGAAATATAAATCTGGAGATCTCCTATGCATTTCCAACTTCGAGATTCATATTTTCGTAGAGAAATTTTTAAACAGTTTCCGAATAGTGTAAGCTTTTTTGTATTTATGCATTGGTATAGAATTAATATCAGTGACTGATTTAAGTGAATTTAATGCTTTCATTTAATTTTGGAAACAAATGAAAGTAGTAATATTATCAATAATAATATTATTATCATACGTTTTTTTGCTTAAAATATGGTATAACAAGAGACAGTGTAAGCATAAACATGTTTCGCATATGTATATTAAATAGCGTGCAAATGTCTAATTATACAATGTCAATTGACTACTATTGGCCGAGCGCCTTTCATATGTGCAGAAAAATCTAACGAAGTGAGACAAGTAGTTACGAGCGACTGTGAGTTGTGACAAGCCACGTCAAACGAGTTCTATACACGTTAGCGCTTGCCTGCAGTCGGTCAGCTAGGCGAGCGACACCGAACGATGGCAAGGGAAATAGCCTGTCTATACGTTAGTATTGGCCTTCACCCGGCAACGTTGGACCAACATGGTCATTGTATTGCTGGCTTTATAAAATAAGAATATTTAGTAGTTAAGAGTTGTCAGTGGGAAAAAATCGGAAACGAGTGGATAATTTTGTTTTCAGGAACTGAGAATGCCTAGTAAATGAGTCTTGTACGAATTTAAATTAAATATAAATTATTTACCAATAAACCTAATGATGGAATTACATTATCATGAAATCTAGTTACATTTAAAGTTATGTTAAAATTTGAATCTTCAAAATGAAGCGAACAAATGAAGATGGTCTTTGATTCAATGTTTATATTCGGCACTCCTATGATTTCCTATCATTCTTTTTTCTTTTTTGATTTGTAGGTAAACTTGAAATAGTAAATAATAGTAATAAAATAATAAAAACCTCGAAGTGAATTATTTTCATAACAGAATATCGATAATATGTACGGTTCCAAGAACAACACTGTCTCACAATAATCGTTAACAACAATCATCAAAATATACAAACAAACAGGCAATCTGAAGAAACCAAAGCAAAATTTGGCAAGATTTATGAATAAACTACTTAAATTACATGAGATATTTGGGCTTTTGTGTGATTTATAGACAGAAAAATATCATGTGGATCATTGACTTACAATTATATGTGGATGTACAATGTTGTTATAAAATGTTTATGGAAACCAAAGGACATGATAACATATCCTTTGGTTTGTTGGTCACTGTAATAGTGACATATATAAATCAGACGTTATATGCATATGATGCATTTAGACGGTGAAAACATAAATATTTTATTGTCTTTGTTAAACTTCGACGTGCCGTCGTAAGCCAAAAGAGATAGCACTACATTGATTTATGTCAAACACGGGAATCGAAAATACGTAACGTCATCTTAAATCCCAACTGTCCTCATTTTACCATTTTTGGCGTACCGTTTGACATCCGTATCCGGTTGTCATTGACTTATCGATGATTATGGTACAACACTAAAGAAATCCGCCATTTGTGGTGGACATTTTTGGTTTAGGTAGGGATGTTTATTCCGTAGATAGGGCAGCTCCTTTCCTTTATTTTTTTCCATCCTCTAGGCTTAGGGCAGCTCCTTTCCTGTATTTTTTTCTCATAGGCCACTTTCAAAATTTAGCTGGTTCCGGTGGACCCCCTGCAGCTACATTTCTACCATATTCCATATCCATATTATTTTTTGTCACGTTAACGTAGACCCCCGTTTTTAACCGACTTCAAAAAAGACGAGGTTCTCAATTCAATTCTTTTGGATGTATGTTACGCGGTAACTCCGGATAATTTGTGAATAGATTTTTCAGATTCTTTTTTAATTGGAAAGAGGGTACCTCAGGAGTGGTCCCATTTAAATTTGAAGAAAATATTCTACCTCTAAGGGTGGCAAACTTGGGGATGAATCCGGTTTCGCGTACTTTCCGGTAACCGATTTCAACTTGGCAAATAGATGTAATTTCACGAAATTTTGAGGTCGGTTTTTTTAGTATTCTGTACAGAGATTATTTAGGAAAACGTCTTTTGATCCTTTCTTACCAAGTCCAAGGTTTATTACGATTGTGACATAAAGCATTTAGCTACCATAAAGCAAACATTTTGACATTATACGTACGATATTCGCATTAACGTCTAATTAGGACGTAATAACGACTGAATATTAGGTTCGACGTCGCTAGCATCATTTTACTTTGAACCATTATGAGGTAAGACGTCGCGTGAATTATTTTACTTTAAACAGTGTCGGAAATAATGGCGCTTAAGTTATTTCTCCCTGTTCAACATTTTCATTTCTGGTTGGTTTAAGCAATTTTCTTACTGTTAAATAAGTAGTCAAAAGAATCAACTTTTTATCTTCTTTTAATTATTTTCCTAAATTATAAAAATTTGTCGTTGTGTTTGTAATGTATTTTTAATAGAAATAAAGAAAAAAATATTTAGTGCTTACAAAAATAATGTTTTATTTATCTTGTAAATATTAAATTCTGTAACAGTATTTAAATTATATTCTAAAACCGAATAACTCAAACAATAAAACTTACAACAATAAACAAACCACTTGTGTTTTTTTCTATTTCAGCTGTCTTTTTGGTTACTTTTCTTTTTACTACCCAAATATCGATTCATTTTGCCAAACACCAGTTTTTATAAATCTTGAGCATAAACCTTTTAGCAGTATCCCATGATGGCATTACGTTATTTTTGCTTAAACAAATTGGAAACCTTGTGACGTATGAGGACCATGATCTGTATTTGCTCGTTCTTACCCTTAAATCCCCCTGGGTCGATCTGTATTTGCTCCTTCTTACCGTTAAATCCTTCGGCCTGGATCTGGATTTGCTCATTTTTACCGTTAAATACTTCTGCCTTGATCTGTATTTGCTCCTTCTTACCCTTAAATCCCTCTGCCTCGATATGTATTTGCTCCATCTTATCGTTAAATCCTTTCCTCCTCAAAAATCTAATCTAAATCTTTTCCTCTCTCACCCACTCTCTCATACACTCACTCACACACTCACTCACCCACTCACTCACCTACTCACTCAACCACTCACTCACCCAATCTCTCACCCATATGCCCTATAAATTTATCATAATTGTCAGTTTTAATTGTTAATTGTTAAACAAAAACAATGAAAAGATTGAAACTTGATTAATTGTTAATTGTAGATATACGCGATTAACGATTGATTAAT